ACACAGGATGATCATGCAAACTTTAGGACACTGTTGAAGGCAAGAGGGAAAGACATAGTGAAAGAACAAGGACAAAAGTAGAACCAATTAACTGTAATAGGGACCACTTTCCTTTGAAACTAGTGACTGTCAAGTGAAGCAAAAAGAAAGATGAAAAGAAAAAAGAGAGGCCGGGCGTGGTGGTGCATGCCTGTAATCCCAGCACTTGGGAGGCTGAGGCATGAGGATTGCTGTGAGTTTGAGACCAGCCTGGGCTACTAAGTGAGTTCCAGGTCAGTCTCATTTATATAGTGAGACCCTGTCTCAAAAAACGAAAAAACCAATAAACAAAAAAAAAAAAAAAAAAAAAAAGAAAAGAAGAGAAAAGGAAAAGTGAGCCGCGGGGCGGACACACGTAGAACAAAGCTTTTTTCACCTCTGGCTCTGTCCTTTTAAATAAGAAAGGATTTGGCATCTTTATGAAGGTCCCAATAGGAAAAAAGATTTCATAAACAAAGTCTGACGAGAGTTCACTCACAAGAGGACCATTCACAAGATATGGGTGAGTGAGCAGCAGTGAAGATGTCACCATCCATTAGATCCAAAATGTGTCATGTAGAGGAAGTCACTGAAAGGAGCAGCAACCTTCGACTAAGACATCCCCAGCCTGATACAGCCTCACAGGGATGGCTCTCAAAATAACTGCTCTGAGCTCACTCTCCTTCCTTTGTCCCTGAAGTGTCCCCCTGGGGCTCCACTGTCCAAATCCAAGGACAGTAAGGAAATCCACTGGTGCTGTCAGCCTCTCTCACATGGTGTGAGACAGCAATAGATGGTAAGTAGAAAAAGCATCTGGAAGATGGCGGCATAGAGTTCAACTGTTTTCCAAGTCTATACCCAGGGAGTCTTCTCCAGGTAGTCACAGATTTATCAGTCAGGAAAACTTGTTATTTCATTGTGACAATGGCTGTGTTTCAAGTTAGTCCAAAGGCAGGAAGGTGGACAGCGGCTCAACTGACTCCAGCCTCCCTACCCATTTTGTACACTGCTTCTTCTTCTAATCAAGTGCCTTTCTTTGTGACTCCCAGGCTATGCATGAAGACACGTGTAGACACAGGAAGGGCAGCAGGGATGAGACAAAACATTTATTTCTGAACTAAGAAGGGCTACACTTGCCCCGATCACTTCTGTGTCCCTTAGTCCCAGAGCCCCAGAACAGGACCTGAGAGATTGCTCCTGAGAGAGGATGGGTTATAAATGACGAGTAGTGATCAAAAGCAGACAGGGAAAGAGAAAGAGTCTCAATTCACTCTTGGAGGAGTAAATGTCTGGATGTTAGAGACAGGCAAAAAGATTCTATGTGGAGCAAAACATTTTTATAATTAGAAGACAATAATATTGTTATCACTTTGAGGAAAACATGAGATGACCAGTTGTTTACCTTTTTGGCTTTCTTCTTATAAATCGTTTCTCTCTCTCATTTCTTCTCTGCTCCAACTGATGCAGATGTGTCTGACACAGGTAATGTCCTGCCACCCTTCCTGAGGTTCTGGACTGTTTTCTCATCAGAGCCACCGGCCTGTCTGTCCCCGAACACCCTCTTCTAGATTGGGCACATTCTGTGGCTGGAGGGAGCCAGAGAGGGGCTCAGAAGCAAAGCTGCTGTCCCATCCAGCCGCCCCTGCACCTCCTCTGGGCTGTCACATGAGCACACCCCTCCCCCTGGCTAAATTCACTGTGGGAGATCCCAGCAGAGGGGCAGCTTTCCCCACGCAGCTGGGACCCACCTCTGAAACGCTTGCTTTGGGCGGGTCTCACTGAAGCACTCTGACCTTGAACTCAACTCTGTTCGTGTGACAGTTACAACACACACACACACACACACACACACACACACACACACACCGTTCCAGACCTTGCTTTTGTAGGACTGCATTTTCTGGAAACTTTCCTGTCTTTTCCTCCCCATTTCACATCCATTCCTTGGAATATTCTGTTGTGTCCATACATAGGCTTGCTGGACGTGCTTAGTACAGCCCTGGATCCCTTGGCTCTGTTCTTACAAACTCAACCATGCTGAGAAATGTAGGTGGGAATTTTTACAAGCTAAGATTTCCCGCCCTCTGAGGTGATCAGAGGTTTTAAAGTGAATCGTGGGACCATAACAGTAAACACTAAACAAAGGGATGCTTAGCTAAGGGAAGCAGAATAAGGGCTGCCACCCACTTGTGTTATTGGCAGGTGCCCGTTGTTCACTCCCAACTGCTTGCCTTTCTGCCATGTGATATGCACTCCTCCAAGCCAACAGCATGTTTTACACATGTATATATTCACCTGTCAGGTGCAAAGCATTATATACACTTTAATACAGTGCAGACAACATCATCCTACGCACAACGCCGAGCCATTCCCCCAGATATGTACTTTTTGTGGTTAAGCGTTCTCATAACAAGAAAATGTCATCCTCAGATTTGGGGATTTTCCGGCGGGCCGCTATGGTGTTCTACACGGACTGTATCCAGCAGTGCAGCCGGCCTCTCTACATGGTAGGTACACATGCCTGTGCTCCCTGGCTTTCTCCCAGAGAGTAGGGAAGCTGCAGGAGGGCCAGGTTTGGGGCAGTCACTCGAAGCTCCAAAAATCAAAAGGGACAGATGGCCAAGGGTGGCTGGGATCCAGTTGGTGGGAGAAGAAGCATGTTGCTTCCTCTCTTTCATAAAGACAAGCTAAGATGGTCCCAGTTTTGCAAAGGAAATATTTGGCAGTCTGTGAAGAAGAAAAATATATATATGTATTGTGGCAGTCCAGCCGTCACAACACGAACATGCCTGAGTCGGGGAGTGAGGATTGAGAAAGGAAAGAACACTCAAGCCTGAGTGGAGACGAAGAGAAGTCTGATTTATTTCACAGAAACAGGTCCTTTTATAGGTTCACATCAACAGGAAGCTTTTAAAGGCACTCAACCAGAAAACACTTTTTAACAGAAAACACCAAGCAATTGTTTTTATCTTTATGCAAAGACCGGATTTCCTGACTCTTACAGATAACATCAGATCTTCGGCTAATGAGTTTCCTGTTATGTCAGGGTCAAAGAATCAAAACAAGCTCAACAAACAGTTTCCTTGAAAAGTAGCAAATGTTGATGCCTTAATTATACAGGAAGAAGTTATTTTCCAAATGTCAAACTCCAGTGGGCCATGACTGGGCCCCCACTCTATATAGATAGATAGATAGATAGATAGATAGATAGATAGATAGATAGATAGATGTAGATCTACATATCTATATCTAGAGAGAGAGAGAGAGAGATCTTTTAAAATAGTGATCCTTGCTATGGCAGAGAATTAAAACACGATGTCCGTATAAAGAATCATCCAAAGAGGTACCCTTGTAAACGTGAAAGCTCATTCTGTTACTACTTGTACCAGAACAGCAGGTGTAAACCAGAATTGTCCCAAGCAAACTGGGACCTGTGGTCATTCTAATCACTTTTATTAGTAATTTATGCTCTTAATGTTATGCATTTCTGTTATTTAATTTTTATAATGAGAAATTATTTTTAACTGTGATTACTTCTGGAAGGTTGAAATATATATTTTAAAGGCTCCCCCATCTCGTTCTCAGCAAATTGTTCATGTCTACCTGAGCCTAGATGTGAGGGCCCTGGGCCCCAGCCCTGTCTTGCCTTGCTGTGACCTCAGAAGTCTCCTTACCTCCTCTGCCCCACTGACCCAGCCTTTACATGGTGCTATGCTCAGATCCAGTGACACATTTGGGCTTGGCACATAAGAATTCATGAAATCCCTGCTTGTATTTTCTCATCAGGACTTTTACATAAAAGAACATGGTGCCTTTTAGCCCTCTGAAGTTTAGGCCTATAGGCACTAAAAAATTGAGGCTGAAAGGTTTTACTCAGATGAAAATTTAAAAGCCTGCCAGGAATTTAGCTCAGTGGCACTGTGCCTGCCTCATAAGCACAAGGTCCTAAGTTCAATCCCTGGTACCAAAAAAAAAAAAAAAAGAAAGAAATTTTAAAAGTCTATTAGGATCTGTGAGTATTTTCAGTTACTTGGGGTATAAACTTGAAATAGTTAATGTTTTGAGTGTTTATTGTTGTTGTTACTTTAATTAGAGCATTGTAGGTTCAGCTGTTTAGCAAAATTGAGTGGACAGTACAGAAATTCCCATTCCCAACAGAATGGTACATTGATTACAATTAGTGAACCAACCCTGACACATCATCACTCACACCATAGGGCTCACTCTTGTGTCATGCATTTTATGTGTTTTGACAAATACATAATGTCACATAGTCACTGTTGAAATATTATGCAGAGAACTTTACTGCCCTAAAAATCCTCTGTACTCTGCCTATTCATCTCTCCCTGCAACAATTGTCCCTCCCTGACAATGTCTAATTTTTTATTGTCTCCATAGTTTTGTCTTTTCCAAAATGTCATGTAATTGGAATCGTATTGTTAATAACCTTTCATGTTAGCTTTTCTTTACTCAGTAATATCATTTACATTCCTCCATGGTTTTTCATTGCTTTGTAGTTCACTTCAGTGCTGAAAAAGCCCACTGTCCAAGGGCACCACAGTTTATTTATCCATTCACCTATTGAAGGACATCTGTGTTGCTTCCAAGTTTGGGTAATTATGAAGAAAGCTGCTCTATCCTATGCAGATTTTTGTGCAGACATAATGTTTCCACTCTTTTGAGTAAATACCAAGGACAGCTGTTGCTGGGTCACATGGTAGGCATGTATTTTCTTTTGTAGGAAAGTACCAAACTTTCCTCTGAAGGACTGTACTATTTCCCATTCCCACAAACAATGAGTGAAAGTTTTTACTACTCCATAGCCACAACAGCATTTTGGTGTTGTTGGCATTTTGGATTTAGACCATTCTAATAGGTGATGAATGTTTGCATTTCTTTTCTTTTTATTGAGTTTATTGGTACATTTTAGGTATACAGTACAGTTACGTTCATTATTGGGATCTTGTACCTTTACATGACAGGTCTTGGTTCTCATTTTTTCCCCTTGTCCCTGCCTTCTCTTCACCCCCTCCTACCCTCCCCATTTACAAACATTTTATTTCCATTTTTTTATTTGGTCATATTTTTTTCTTTTCCCTTATTACCTTTCCCCTACCCTTCCCATTTTGAATGTTTGCATTTTAACAGAAAACATTTCCTCCAAATGAGACAGACCACCTGCAAAACACTTTTAAATAGTAGATGCAAATTAAAGTGTAATAAAACAGCACCTAAAGGTTTTAAGCAGTACTCAAAGAAGCAGAAAGAGATTGTGAATAAATCTGTACCAGAGAACTGTCTTTTAAAATGGATCGATAGTCTGTGTTTTCTCCCTTATTTAGTAACATTCATGTCAAGATCATGTGTTGTAGAAACCAAATGCTGGGAGATGCAGGTCCTCCTTGGAGCCAGAGTAATGAGTGTAAAACTAATTCCCACAGCTGGTCTTGACAGTTGCAGTAGAGGCAACCAAGAAACATAAACCAGAAAAACAGGCGGCAGAATTGTAGCTGTTAAGTAATCAGCACATACCACCAGTCTCCCCACTGAGAAGTGGGCACTGCTACCCAGATCCACTAAACCTAGGGGGAATCAGCCAAGTCCTGCTTTGCTGACCACTTTCTTTTACAAGGACCTAATTATGTCCATTTGCACTCAGAGGCCTTGCTGTTCAGTCCTTGTGGAGGATTTGTATCAGAGCATAGTCAAGACTCTCTTAGACCCACAGAACATGTTTCTCAACAAGCAATCATGTTCCTTTGGCTGATGCTTTTGTTACAGTAGGTTTAAAAGAAAAGTAGTGTGTTCAGCCTCTTATTTGGTGTTTTTTGTCCTTTTTTTTTCCTAGGATAGAATGGTATTGCTGATTGTGGGGAATCTGGTAAACTGGTCCTTGTAAGTAGTCTTAGGAAAATATGTTTTTGTCTTTATTAATACTGGCAACACTGTAGTTTGGCTTTCTTTCACTGTCATTGTTACAAAAATATCTGAAATTAAGGAGAGGGTAAGTCTGTGTTTGTTCTAGAGACTTAATAAAAAGGTATTTTTCCTCCTACATTGTCTGAACAAGGGCAGGATTCCGCACAAAGTGGAGAGGATCAACTGAGCCTATGAGATCTGGCTGTGGTGAACCGTGGGTGTCATCTGTCATCTGATATTGATTGAACAATTGATCACCCACCCATCCCCAGTTTATGGATATGCGGCTTTAAATGCAGAAGAGGGAGAAAGGAAGCTTTAATTGTTCTGTCTGAATTTAGGAGCTGAGCTAGGAGTGCACTGATGATTTCTTCATTAACAGGAATTATGCTTTGCACTGCATTTCCCCCAGGAAAGATACACTGGAAAACAGTGCCCTGCCATTGACACAAGCAGAAATCGGTGCAGTTTCCCCAAGTGCTTCTGTTTGTCACAAAGGTCTTCAGGGTTGGCCGTGTTGTGACATCATCACCATTTGGGGGTTGTCATGTTGATGGGATGACCCATCATGAAGGAATGGGGATTCACCCTGGGACCAAGGTGCCACATCTTGTAGCCCTCTCATCCCAGGGCCTAGTGGCTGAGGCCTGCTGGAATCATTGCCTTGTGGTTCAAGCTTGTGCTTTTCCTGGAGTGGCAATTCCTCATTTTTTGTTGTAATTTTAAAAACTTAGTCTTTGGACCACAGCCATTCATCGAAGTACCCTGGCCCACCCCACAAAGACACAAACAGTTGCTGGGAGACCTCGTGGCACCTTTTCTGCAGACACCCTTCCTCTGATGTTCGGGTGTGCATGCTAAGTTAATCTCTGCATCCTGTTCGCCATCGTTACCTGTATTGACATCTGTAAATAGTGCATGGCAAAAGAGTAGTGACCTCTCGTGCTTGACTGTGACTCATCAAGGTATGCATGCCTGCATGGGGACCCACTCCGTGTGGTTCCATATATTGAGGGCTCAAGTTTTCCTTTGTATTATGAAAGGGTTTATGTGTGAATATATTTTATGCCTTTTTATTACAAGTCTGGCACTTGATGACTTTTGTTATGGCATTTTGTTCTACTTATATTGTAAATGACGCGTTATAAAGAGTTCATTTAAGGAAACTTACTTGGTACAAGAATTATTTTAATTAGGAGATGTAGCCTTTATTAAAATTTTATGTTTTTCAGGGATAAAAAGGTGTTTTTTCCTCCTGAAAGGAGAGCAGTAGGAAGCAGCTTCTCCTGAAGCACTGGTGCACTGAATATGCTTTGTTCAACAAGACAAACACCTGTGTGCATAGATTAGATGACTCCTAGAGGCAGATAGATGATGGATGGGTAGATAACCCATAGGTCCGATCATACACAAAGTCAGCACCGTTTTAAATTATTCCACAGTTCATTCCATAACATCTCCACAGTAGAATTTCTGTAATTTCTCTCTTGCTAAGCACGTGTTTGTGAGAGAGAGAACAAGTCTTCTGATTTCTGTCTTTCCCTCTATCTTTCTTTCTACTCCAAGTATGATTTTTCTTCCTTTGTCCCCCATCATCTTCTCGGCCTTTTCCTTTGAACATGTGAGATATTTTGTTGATCTCTCAAAGAATAAATAAGATTAGTTGTTTCTATTTTTGGTTCCTAGCTGATAGGGTCCTCTGGGTCCATGACCTTTGATAGAAAAGCAATTCCTCGCTCCTAGAACACATAAACCACCTACTAGTCCAATTATTTAAATACAAGATGACCAAAAATAGCATTTTTTTCATTAATTTTTATAAGATAATATAATAGGAAGTATGGAAGCCACAATTTTATCAAATGTATTCAAACAAGATTTGACTGGTAGAAATGACGCCTGCCCAAGTGACACTCAGAATAGTACGTACAGAAACAAACGTGCTGCCAAGTGGCACCCGGGGTAAACCGTTAAGCGGTTAAGACATACGAAGGAATGAAGACAGAGACCTGCCTTCAGAACCCAGCCACGGGACTTGACTCTTACCCAGGGGCGTAGCTCCTGGAAGAAACTTCCCATAATGTCGTCGCGCAGGGCTCACCGTAGATTAAGGTCCATACCAGTAAAGGGTTCCCATGCCGCTTGGGCCACTCAAGGTGAGATGAGCAGCCCCCCTGCGGTGTTCTTCTTGACCACCCTCTCAGGAGCGCACACCACAGCCCTGGCGACACTGTGACCCAAGGCACCAAACAACCCATGGCCATGGCCTCAGGGCTCAGAATCACCAATCTTGTTTCTGCCTCTCACACAATCAAAACCAAAGCCACAATCCACTCATGAGCTAAGGTGACTGGCCACTCTCTCAGAGAGCTCTATTAGATTCTAGGGCCTATGAGGGTGCACTAGGTGTGATGACACCCTGACACCGTGATTACATGGGAGAGGTAGTCACAGCAATGTGTACGGATGTGCATTTACAGGAAACAATTTCAAATAAAGAGAAAAAGAAGAGTTATATGATGTTTTGCTATAAATAAACAGAAATCTGACACAAAATTAAAGCTAAGCCTCAACCAAAAATAAGTTTCAGTATTAATTTAAAAATGGACAGCTAACAAAGTTTTTAAAATATGTGCTAAGCCAATTTTTGAGATAATTCTACTGGTAATCTATGCTAAGGGACTAATCTTAAGTGGAGAGAGTATGTCTGACAGCATTTGTTTCTTCATTATACTGTTGTATATAATCATGAAAAATCCTGAAGTGCTGGAAAAACCCTGCACCTCAATCCAAGAGACAACATGATTACTTACAGTATATTCACTTATGGGAACATTGCATCATCACTAGAAATGAATGATTTGAAGATGCAACGCAGTAGAAGTTGATTTAACAGTCATGCACCAGTAATGACATTTCAGTCCATGGAAGATCACGCCTTCAACACCAGTCCTATGTGATGTTGTTGCCTTGTGACAGCAGCCGTCTTAGTATATTCTGATGTTCGTACAAAATTGTCTAGTGATGCATTTCTTATAACATAACCCATCATTCAGTAACACATGAATGTATGTTAAGGTAGTTTCTAAGGAAAATCCTCCCCCACCCCCCAAAAAGAGAGATGATGTAGTGGAGAAAAAAAAGCAGATGATACTACAACTCCATCTTCTCTGCTGCCAATGTCTCTCCCCTGTGTTCTTAGCGCCTTCTTTGGATTGATCTATCGGCCCAGGGACTTTGCATCCTACATGCTGGGCATCTTCATCTGCAACCTGCTGCTGTATCTGGCCTTCTACATCATCATGAAGGTAAGAGGGGCCTGGGAGCTGCAGTATTCCCAGCTCCCCAGATGATGGCGGGGTGAAGCCACCCCAGCGCCTCTGTCTCCCCACAGCTGCGCAGCTCTGAGAAGGTCCTCCTCGTGCCCCTCTTCTGCATCGTGGCCACTGTGGTGGTGTGGGCTGCCGCCCTTTATTTTTTCTTCCAGAATCTCAGCAGCTGGGAGGTAAGGGGACCACTCTCTTTTCCACGCAGTTCTCTCTCTCTCTCTCTTTTTTTTGCCTTTTCAAGTTTTCTGCCTCCCTCTCTCTCCTCTACTGCGCATATTGTTTATCTTTTTTTTAATGGTCTTTAAATTGAAAGCTTTTGCCAAAAAAGATTGGTTTTAGTATCCACACGTGAATGCTTAAAAATGCCATGTGGTCATTATTATCAGGGTAACACTTTGTAAATTTTTAAGCGCTACAGACACTGCAAACTTAACCTTCATAATGTGTTGCATTATGATTCTGTTCCAAGTAGATGTATAGCATGTGCAAAAACCTTGATTAGTGGATCTTCTCCATCTTTCAAATCACAATCCTCACCTATCAATAAATGTGGGGCCGGGACCCAGTATTACTACACTGGCTTCGTAAATAAGAAAGCTGACAGGGAGCAAGTGTCAACTGATTGTGGAACATTTTATCTCACCAGAAAGAAACCCCACAACCACTGTCAGTCACTCTCTGCTTCTCCCTTATCTAATAGTGCTTAACAAACACGAATCTACTTTGTTTTTTTCCCCATAGTGGGGATTGAATTCAGGGCTTTCACCCTGAGCTACATCCAGAAGTTTTGTTTTTTTTTTTTACCCCCACTTTGAGACAGGATCTCACTAAGTCGCTAAGTTGCCAAGTAGGACTGAAATTTGAAATCCTTAAGCGCTGGGATTACACGCAGGTGCCACCACTTCGTCCTTTTATCTCCATAGGCTTGTCTATTGAGGACATTTCAAATAAATGTCATCGCACACTACATGGTCTTTACGCCAGCTTCTTTAATTTAGTAAAATGTTCCTTGGGTCCATCAAGGCTGCCGCATACATCAGCACACCATGTCTTCTGGTCCCTAAGTAATATTCCTCTATGAAGAGAGACACACATTTTATCTGCCCACTCCTGTGTCGATGAACATTTGGGTTGCTTTCACTTGTAGTATTAGGGATGATTCTGCTGTGAGCATTTGCGTGCCAGCTTTTATGTGTAGGTATGTGTTCTTGGAAGCTGACTTTTTTTTTCTTTTTATTGAGTTTATTGGTACATTCTAGGTATACAATACAGTTACATTCATTACTGGGATCTTGTACCTTCACACAACAGTTCTTAGTTCTCATTTTTTCCCCTTGTCCCTGCTCTCCCTTCATCCCCTTCTTCCCTCCCCATTTACAAACACTTTATTTCCATTTTTTCATTTTCTCATATTTTTTCTTTTCCCGTATTCCCTTTCCCCTACCCTTCCCACTTTCCCTACACCTTTACTCTTAAGTGACTTAAATAAGTCACACATGTGTAAATACCAAATAGTTTCTCTGGTGCAAAAGAGTATAATAGTACTCAAGATCCTAATGGGATAATTAACAATGTCAAATAGGAAGAAAAGGGCTAAAAAAGAAAAAGAAGCTGACTTTTTGAGCCATTTAGTAGCACTTTTATAGCTTCCTGGATGCCAAACCCTGAAGCAGTTGAACTGTGAAAATCTTGCCTACATCCGTCTTACCTTCCTCCAGGGAACCCCCGCGGAATCCAGAGAGAAGAACCGCGAGTGCCTCCTGCTGGATTTCTTTGATGACCATGACATCTGGCACTTCCTCTCTGCCACTGCGCTATTCTTCTCATTCTTGGTAAGTTTATCACATCTTTTTGGTGATTTCTCCTCGCTTTACAGTCTCATTGTTGCTTTTACACTCGTCTTCACATCCTTTTTATATTCCTATTTTCCCTCTCCAGTTCCTCATTGTGCAGACCATTTTATTTCTTTTTTTATATTGTACCCTCAGTGGGATCTTTATTTTCATTTCCATTTCCATTTTACTTTGCAATAGTTTTTGACACAGCGTGACAAAACTATTTTCGTAGATTGCACAGCGCATTTGGATTGAACTGGTTATTAGTCTCGTACGCCCAGAACTTCCCCCAGGAACCACAGCTGGTGTACAGATTCCTCTGACATTGGACTATTCCTTTCCTCCCCGTCCTGCAGCCTCACTGAATATTTTATGAGTATTTTATAGATCCCCAGGGAAGGGCGCAGGGCAGACTTTTAGCTTCCATTGCCTTCTAACAAGTAGCATATGTTCAGTTCTCTTCCGTAGTTCCTCCATGTTTTGCCTGAATCCTTTTCCAGAATCTATGCATATTCATGTCAACCTAGGATGATGGTTCCCAGCATCCTTTAATCATACGTTTAACATTTCTAAAGTAAAAGTTACGGTTTCTGTACACTGCTAGACTCCTGGGCTCCCAGCACTGTGCTCTGAGGAGAGCACAAACCATACGGCATTAGAGCGGAACGGGGCTGCCCCCTAGTGGCCAGTTTGGAAAGTTCGGCCAATCTGTGTAAACGTGCCTCAGGGCTTCTTTTGGATGGTCGCCTTTCAGAGACAAGAGAAGTGAAGTTTAGGGGTCCGTGTGGGGAAAGTAAGCAGTGGCCAAGAGAATTAGAAATGAAGGGTGAGGGTCCATTTCTTATATAGAAATTCTTCATGCAATAAGACTTCATTCCTCTAGGTCTTGACCTAAACATCACCTTCTAAATTAGACTTCTCAGGCCACGCTTTTTTTTTTTTTTTTTTTTTACCATTTTTCCTGTATTCCCTCCTGAGTTTAGTTTGTATCCTTAGTACATATTACAACCTGACATTCTACATTTTACTCATTTATTTGTTTCATGTTTCTTGAATGTACATTTCAAGAGGGAGAGATGTTTGCCTCTTTTGCTCCTAGCTGTCTTTTACTCCAGCATCTAGAATGGCACATAATGAACTCTCACTTCTATTTAAGTTAGTTGATTAATGAACTATATAATTAGAAGTGCTTGTTAATGGCAAGCATTGCAAAAGGTTGCAAAATACATGAAAACAAACGACGGAATGAGTCATTTTAGTCCAGGGGAGCCTTAGAGAAAGTAGGGATTTCATGCGACTGTAACTGTACATTCCTTTCATGTCCCTGTCCCTTTCACTGCAGGTTTTATTAACTTTGGATGACGACTTGGATATGGTTCGGAGAGACCAGATCCCTGTCTTCTGAGCCTCCAGTGTTAAAGGGGAGAGCAGCCCATCGTGGTGCTGTTTTGTGAAAAATGCAGTGCGCTCAGTGACATACCCACTGCCTCATGTTCCACTCGCCTTTAGGTTTGTGTTCACAAGAAGGGGAGAAGATGGGGAGAGCCCAGCCTGCGAGGAAGGTCAGGGCTATGGATGGAGGCAAAGCTGGGGGACTGAGAAACAGCCAACCTGCTGGCAACCTTGAAAGTTAACCAAGGACAAAGCTGCAACACAGTCAGCTCCCCACCTGGGACCTTCCCACCCTCACCTGACACTTGTCAGCATGTGGCTGTTCTCCCCTCCATCCACCACGCCCACTTGTACTTGCCACCCAAGAATTCCAGCATGGCCACATTCACACCTCTGTTCCACCCACTGCTCTAGATGACCAAAGGCCATCTCATTTCTCTGGGCCCCTAGGAGGACCTGACTCCTCAGAGTATGGTGCAAAGGTGGACCCAAGCCCCACCCAGCTGGGATAGACGTCATGGCAGGTTCCGGACACATTAGGAGGGCTGAGGACTAGGTGTTATCATACGGTCCTCTGAACAGGTAACCAACCCTGAGACCAAGGCCGGGGTGCTTGCCTTTTTCTTAGTGTCTTCATTTCACCACCGTGTGTTAACCCCATCTCTCTGCCTCTACCTTCGTGGAAAGGCCCTGTAATTCCATGGACCTGCTGGGCTACAAGATGGGAGGGGAAATGGGAATCATTCTTCTGGTGCAAAAGATATAAAATAAATGACCGACAGCTCAAGGAGACTAGAAACACCAGCATCCAGCGGACCAGCCTCACTTTCGGGACTGAGGTTCCTGGAGCAAATTCAGCAAAGGAACAGCACTTGGCTTCCAGTTTCCACAGCTCAATTCTGTGCCCACATCACCTCTGACAGAGAGATTTGATCTCTAACCGGGGGGCTACTCTAAGGCCCTCCACAACTGAGCCCTTTCCTGTCTCTTATGTGGACCAGGGTTCCAGATTTTCTCCCTGACATTCTCAGAGGCACCTCAGGATGAACACATTTTCCTCTGCCTCTCTTGTTGTAAAGAGCACCGGTAATTTAGTCTTGTGTCTTCTTGCACCTGATTCTCCTTCTACCCCAAGTAAGGTTGTGAGAAGCTCGGAGTCCCATTTGCAGTCTCACACTGTCTGGCACTTCTGTCTCCAAAGAGCCCCACTTTGACAGAGCTCCCTCGCTGCCTGGAGTACGAGGTCATCAGCAAACAGATGTTCAAATGTGTGCATACATACATACTTGCTTGTGAAATTGAAGTCATTTCTCACCTCTGCTTCCCTGACCATTCGTCAGAGAAATGAATCAGGCATTCTTCCTTTAAAAATTAGTTTTCTCCCATATATTCCCATCATGTTCAAAAACATATTTTGGAAGTTTGTTCAAATTGTTCAGTAAGCTTTTCCTGATTTTAAAAACACAAAGATGCTATCTATGAAATATTTTGCGTGCTTTTTCCAAAATGCCCCATTTATAAATAGGTCTTCTATTATTTATTCCTGAGTAACTGTTGGCTTCCTTGATGGTGCACACCTATAATACCAGCACTCTAATCCTCCTAGCACAGAAGAATTTCTTTGAGCTCAATTTTGGCCTGGGCTCACAGTGAGTTCAAAGCCAGTCTGGACTACACAGTAAAACCAAAATAAAGTAATATAAAATAAAAATTGTTGGTTTCCATAGGCCACATGAAGGCCGCCATTAAATGTTTGTGTTAATTTAACACCTAAAGGCATTTTCAAAACTGTTTGTCACTTACTTGACCCAATTCTTTTAAGGCACTCATGGTTTCTAATCTAAAAGGGCCCACTAGCTGGGCGTGGTAGTGCACGCCTATAATTTTAGCAGTTGGGAGGCTGAGACAGGAGGATGGCCATGAGTTTGAGGCCAGCCTGGGCTACATAGTGAGTTCAAGGCCAGCCTGAATTACAGTGAGACCCTATTGCAAAAGTAAATAAATACATGAAAGGATCCACTCAGGAATGAGAAGAACAGTGTCCCTTTGAATAGCCCTGCGGCCTGAAGTGAATACTTTTAAAATACATCACCTGATCTGAATTTTGTTTGGGAACAAGATTCACTCATCAGCAGTGTGAATGGGGAGATACTTGTGGGAACTGGGAGGCCCTTCTAGAAGGGGACAGACTGTGCTGCTGTGTTCCTGACTGTGTTCTGATAATGTCTGTCTTGTGTTATGAAGTCACATGTTGTGGCCCGTTTTGTTCTATGCAGGAGGATTAAAACCCAGACCAAGCCTGCTTTTATAAATATCAGCTCTGAGTGCACATGTGCTTAATTCTTTCCCATGCCCTGATTCTGTGGTTGGAGGACATAAGAAAGTCACTGAGCTTCCTCCGTGGGGCTAACAGGGGTGTTAGGGTAGAGGGGAGCGACCAGAGTTTTTAGTAGACTATCCATACCTATGTAAGACAATGCCTTTGTAAACTTTTGCCCATGCTCGTAGACTGCCCTTTAAAAGAAAGGCAAGGCTCATTCTGAAGGCCAAGTTCAGCAAAACGGTAACTGAGCAAAGCAGGGACTGCGAAGAGGCCCCTTGGCAGAGCAACCCCAAGAGTAACAGGAGCAGTGCAGCTGGAGCAAGTCAGAGGTGCGGCTGCCAGAGGGGCGAACCGCACATAAAAAACCACCTCTCCACACCTCCAGCAAATGGGGCTGGACAGGCAGCCCCACCTGTTGGTAGCGGGTGGCAGAGGGATTAGTCTAGTTTTATTTTAGCAGTCAGAGAAGCCAGTGGAAAAGCAGAGCCTATCTGGGCAAGGCAGTTTCCATTACTGAAGGTGATCCGGAGCCAGCTCCTTGGGGCAAAAATATCAGCAGCTGCTTCCTTTGTAACTCCAAGCAGGAGTCTCAGTGGATCAATACCCAAATGTTTCTCATTCTAGGCAATGGTCTCTGGGTAAAACTTGGAGGAAAGTGAGGTACAGATATGCCTTCATAGAAGGAAGAGACTTCAGTCCAAGTACATCTCCCTACTTGCTGTGTGACCTTGGGTGAGTTGCTGAAACTCTCTGACCTTCAGCTAGTACCTCTTCATGACATTACATGAGTTTGACATGGTTGTGTAGGGCGGCATGAGCAGTGCCAGCACAGAGAAGACCCTCAGCTGTCACCTGGTGAGCCCCCCAGGGAGGAAGGGCAAGAACAAACCTTCACCTGGGCTGGGATCCCTCTCCTTCCCAGCCTCTCCACTGAAGTCCCTGCTGTTTCCTGTCCTCAGTTCCAGGAGGTCCTAAGGAGGTAGGAAGGATACCTCACCTTCAGAGACACAGCCCAGAGTTGTTAGTCTCCTATCCCCAGCTGCTTCCATTTCCTTTACTGCTGTATTTCACAGCCCCATTCCGACTAAAATGACAAACACTCCAAAACAAGAGCCGGTGGAAGGTCTGACTGTGTAGTCACACCTCCTCTCTGCTGCCTGCGCCCCAGTATCTCAAAGGAGAGGAAACCCAGGCTTTCTTCTTCCAAGGAGCCTTTACCACTCTGTTCCAGGGAAGACTCTGAGCAAATGTTTACCCACCATAGTACCTTACCACTAAATGCTGTGGAGGACAAGCCTGGAGGTCCAGCCTGTGGAATGGGGGAGCCTCAGACCTCAGGGGAAGTGATACTCAGGTTTTGAAATGATCTACTGTGACTCTAATGTCTCCTAGCGAAATAAGGGAAAGCACCATGAATAAAGATGCTATTTGCACTGCCTGAAGCAGTCTGAAGCCCTTGGTCACCATGAATCTGCTCAGTGGATAGTGTTTTTGTAACATTCTTTGGAGGAACAACAACATATATGTCCCTTGGTCACCATGAATCTGCTCAGTGGATAGTGTTTTTGTAACATTCTTTGGAGGAACAACATATATTCACAAGGCTAACTTTTCATGTCTCCTTACTGTTAAGGTACCACTGTCAACAAGGGTTAGTGTCTGCTAAATCTTAGGCCTCCACACACACGAACTCAGATAAGTCAGGCAGTAGTGTTGGTAACACAGACAGAGCATGTGGAGCGCCATCTTACTGTGAACGCTACAAAAAAGGGAAGACAATGGGGCCAACGATAAAGGTCAAATCTTTGTGTTTTGGGTTTTTTTTGGGGGGTGCCCGGGATCAAACTCGGGTCCTTGCGCTTGCGAGGCAGGCCACCGAACCACTGAGCTAAATCCCTGGCCCAAGGTCAAATCTTTGATGTAGGCTGGATTTTGTTGGTTCTCAGGTAGACTGAAAGCAAAAGAGACCCTTGGGGTCCATTGAGCTGAGACTACAGAGACAAATACAACCACCCAGGCGGTAATAGTATCAGATACGGACTACGAGGCCAACAGGCGGGTCAGGCTGACAGTAGGAAAGTCACTATCTTTCCACATGAAAAGTGGGACAAAAGAGGTGCTTTGAATTGAAAACCTCAAATATTTCATTTAAAAAATGGAAGACCCAGTTTTAATCCCAGCAGACATCTAGAATTGGAGATTGGAGATTAGAATGGAGATTATTTTAATCCAGCCTCAAAAGACAAACAACAACTCCACTTCCTGACTCACAGAAATTGTAAATACTCTCCCTGCTAGAGGACAAGCATGAGACTGAAGTTCCCAGTCTGCACTGTGAGTAAGCTCTTAACACTGACAGCTGCTGCCCTCAGTCTTCTCCCTAGCCCCAACATAATGAAAGTTGGAAGAATTGGTCATCTAAGCAAACATTAATCATCAGGCATCTGCTAAGGGATTCCTGTACATTACCATAACTAACTAATCCTGAAAGCCCCCCTAACAAGTCAGGGTTATTCCTGTTTTCCCCTTTCCCAGATGGAATCACTGAAACTTAGAGAAAGCATTGTTCGTTAGATGAAGTACATGGTGGAGAAACTTGGATCAGCAGTCAAAAGTAAGTAGTTCGTGTAAAACCAGAGAAGAGGAAGACAGACTGTGGCAGTGGAAATCAACATTTATCCATGTATTTTTCTATGTGTGCAAAGCACATAGTCTAGGATCATATAACTATTCAATGTATTAACAGAAAGAGAAGGTTTTTCCAAAACTCAGAAGATAAGTGATCGTTATGTAAGCCCAAGTAACAACACAAGCTACAGTGCCTTTGGAAAGCCAGCCAACACAAAGCACAGCTTTGGATAATTTTCATTCTCTAAACTGGAACAGCTGGATTCAAATGAGGACCGTTGCATACGTTTCTAAGCTTGTTAAGAACTAAACTCATTTTTATAAATTCAATGCTTTCACTTGGCAAAGCACTATAGTCTCAATGATTCATTTTAAATCAAAATATACATACCATAGAGTATCAGGTTACCGCTGGGAGCTTCTTGGTTCAAAAACAAAATTTTAAATTGGAGAGACAGTGAAGGAATGTAGTGGGTTTTCTTCACTTCCAAAAAACATTGAAAGACTAAAAAAGTTGTGACAAGTAAAAAAGTCTTCCAAAGCTGCCCCTGAAATGGGCCTGTGCTGGCCCAATGGGTAAGGCAGAATCTATACCTCTCATCAGTTATTGAACCATTTTGTTCTTGGTGGCTGGGCTCAACCTTCTTCTCCCACAGTGTATGTAGTTTCATCCCAGCCATATGTAGGCAAAGGAACTGGCTGCATTCAACTGGGAAATCATATTGGCATACAATAAGAATGGTGCTAAATGTTTCTAAATGTGTCCAGAAATAAGGCAATAAAAAGCAACACAAGTTGGTTTGGAATAGGGACATGCTAACCAACCTTTGCCTCCTGTTCTAAGATAACTGTTAGACCTTTTTTCTTTAAAAGATATTTAATGTAAATTTACACATTCATCCCCACAGCATCACTCAAAAAAATGGGATCTAACCTCACTGAATCACGAATTCCCAGAAAACTCCCTGGAGCAGTAAGTTCTCCCCTGTTACAGTTTGGCTGCAGCCTCTTTCCAGACCACAGATCTGAATGTGATTAAGTAACACACAAAAATACCACCAACAATCAGATCTGCACAGCACAAACTTAGTTAAAAGCTGGGTATTCTCCCCAAATTCTGTAGTTGATCTGATTATATGAAAAATTAAGTGGCACACTGATACTGATTAACCAACCCAGCTGACATTAATTTATTTAGGAAGCAGATTAGTTATCGGGTCCTTAATTTCTCACAGGAAGAAGAACCAAAAGTAGGTTTCTGTGCTGAGCAGCTGAATATATCCTAGAAGAGGCCTCCATTTCTGACTCATGTATAAGGGAAGTGGACGTGAGGAGGGTCAGGGAAAACTAATTGCCACTTCATGTGAAATAGTCCTTTGCAGTTGTATGAAAACACATTCAAATATAAAAATGCCATTTGTTCTTTACAATGGCCTGTGAGGTAGGCAGCACAGGTAGTAATAACAATAAACAAGTAGACTATCCAATCAACCAAAACACAGAGATGCCACTTTTCCAAAGCCACAGCCTTGTAACAGCGGAATTAGATTCAAAACAGTACCATGGCCATTTCCTTTTCTAAAGGCTGGCAGTAGCTGGGGGTTTGATCTCCAGCAAAACACACACACACATACACACACACACACACACACACACACACACACACAAGAACGACAGGAAAATAACTTTCAGATTTTGCTAACTCAAAGGAAGTTTGTCAATAGAACACCAACATGAGGTGAAGACATTCTCAGCTGGTTGGTCCATGTGGGGCAGGGGTTTCTCCCCTTGGAGGGACAGTGTCATAGAAGTGTTAGTTATGTCATCCCTGATCAGAAAGGTGATTGGCACTGCAAAAGTCCCTGGAACCGAGGGCCCCTACAGTCAAGCTGTTAGTCAATGGGACCATTTACATTTCAGGACAGTGACACCTGAACCCCCAAGTGAACAGCTTGTC